AGCATTTGCAACAAGAGCATGGTCATGTTAAGGACGTCAAAGCTTAAGACCCATAGCAACAGCAAGGCCTTCCTCTGGCTCACAGTTGAAAGTAGGACTATATCTTCCACTTCCTCCTCAGGATGACTGCATCCTGAGACTGCACTCAACAGAGAACCCCACTGACATCAGCTAACACCCCCCACCATCTATCTATATGATAAACACACACTGAATTTCCCAACTGATGCTGTCTCTCCATCGGAGCCCATGGCCTAGCCAAACTCAGCTTTCCTGCATATGTGTTTGTCATTTCTTCCTTCCCTATGACCTGAGTGAGGTCAGTCTGTGGGAGACAGGGATGGAGGTCGATGGCGAGGCCCTCCAGTCCTGTGGCTCTCTGGAGAGTGATCCAGGCTGGCCTCCTGAGGGCCTGGCCCAGAGTCCATTGCCGTCTAGGACGGGGTGGGAAGAATGCTGCTCATGACAGTTAGCATGTCACAGCAGCCCTCTAAAGCATCGCCACCCCATTTCCCAGAGAGAAAGCCGAGGCCTAGGGAGGTGGTATCACACAGGTGATCATCTGGGATGCCTGAGTCCAGGTCCCCTGTTCCCAACAACACTACAGAGACAGTGGCACCCAGGCGGGCATCCTCCATTGGGAAGGTTGCCCGAAGCCACCAGGTGCTCCTTCAAGACTGCTGACCAAGACCAGCCCTGTCAGGGCAGCCAGCAGGACACTCTGGCGCCATGAATTTAGTGAGATTCACACCCCTTTTGAGGAAGGTGAACACACCCAGAATAATCGTGGAGAACAGCCAGCCAAAGCCTGTGTAGCCTGGAGGTCCCACTAAATATGAGCTTCTGCAGTGTGCGGCTGAGCCCAAGTGAGTGCTAGTCACCATTTCTGCCAAGATTTTTTTTTTTTTTGGGTCGCTGTTGCCATTATTGTTTCTTTGGGGGAGGAACCATGGGACACCTCCAGAATGAAGCCTGTTTCAGGGATGTGTCTTCACCTGGCACTGTGAGGACTCATAGCCACTCCTTCCCCTGGGTGCCACGATGGCTCACTGCACACTCTCATGTCACTGGAGAAGGAGCCTGATTGGAATGTTCTGAAACCCGAAGCTTGGAGGATGGCAGCAGGCTGAACTTAGGCACGGGAGCGGGTGCTGGGCAGAGTCGTAGATCTTTCTGTTTGCTTGAGCAAAGCAACCCCAAACAAGTGCAGAATGATGATAATACCAGCTGACAGAGATGGCTAGGAACCATGGCTTCAGAAGCATCCAGCTCTATCTGGGCTGGAGGGCGGGGCAACTGATCTTGGGTTTGGGCACTGAATGTCTGCATCAAGGGAAACCCTCAACTACTGGGCAAGCCGGAAGGTGCTGGTGCCCCAGCTGTTGGGCTAGTTGGTATTTCTCCCTCTCACCTTAAGTACAAAGAGCAGGACACACGACTCACCGCTGGTACCACTCTGTGGCGAATGAGCGGCATCCCAGCTCTCTTGTTTGTAGGTAGCACAATGGTACAGCTCTGTTGGAGCCCTTTAATCCCAAGGATCTGCGGTCCTCTTCAGATCAGGCCTCTGTTCAGCACGTCCTCCTTCACGCCCTGCCATTGATTCAGGAGGGTCTAGTGTCTCCAGGAGCTCCCTCCTCAACGTTCACTGCAGGACATGGTTCAAGCAAGAGTCCATCCAGGGTCATGGGATGTCTGAGCCCCTCAGTGCTCAGATCAGGACTGTCCCTCCCCAAGAGGGCTTTATCCCCAGCTAGGGCAACTTGGCAACAGGGAGCATTCCTGGAAAAGCTTGTATGGTGCTTTTTCCAGAAAGATGGCCCTTTAACCCTTTCCTTGCCATGGGCTTCTCAGACATCTGATGAAGTCTTCAGTCCCTGCTCAGAATGCTTTATCAGAATGCACTATGAGGGCGCATATGGTGGTCTTTAATCCCAGCATTCTATATGCAGAGCAGGTGGATCTCTGGGAGTACAAGGCCAGCCTGAGCTACACAGAGAGTTCTTACTATCTCAACAAACAAATAAAACAATGCATTATGATGTTGCTGTTGGAAAAGCAGCTTTTCCTAGACTGCACAAGGCCTTGGTGTATAACCATGCATGATGTCCTGTGCCTGTAATCTCAGCACTTGGGAGGTGGACACAGGACCATCAGAAATTCAAGGCCAGCCTGGGCTACATGATACCCTGTCTTGAAAAAGAACAAACAAAAACCATATCTTTTTTTTTTTACATTCTGACAATTCATGCAATGAAAAGAGTTCAAGCTGCAAGTCACCAAAGTATTCAAAAAGCAAACTTGCATGATGATATATTTATTTCTTTTCTTTTTAAAATTTATTTTTATGTGCATTGGTGTTTTGCCTGCATGTATGTCTGTGTGAGGGAGTTACAGACCTTTGTGAGCTGCCCTGTGGGTGCTGGGAATTGAACCTGGGTCCTCTGGAAGGGCAGCCAGGGCCCTTAACTGCTGAGCCATATCTCCAGTCCCAATGTATTTATTTCTTTATTAGCACATTAAATAATGGGGTTTGAGAGATAGCTCAGTGGGTGAAGCCCTGCTGCATAAGTGTGAGGTCCTGAGTTCAGATCCCTGGGACTCATATAAGACCGGATGCAGTGGCAAGCATCTGTAATTCCAGTGCTCCTACGAGGCAGGAGGAAACAGGAGAATCACCAGAACCTCCAGGGACAGCAAGCCTGGCATACAGAGCATCTGACAGGAGATCTTATCTCAAGTAAGGTGGAAGGCAAGGACCAATATTTGAAGCTGTGGTATGTGTGTGCGTGCACACAACACAAAGAGACACACACAAGTGATTTTTTAAAATGAAATTTAGGGCAAGAATGTGACTTGCCTAGCAACTGGAATGCTCCCATATACTAAAAAAACCAAGCAAACAGATATAGCAGTAAGCCCAACTTTCAGAATTCTGGTAGCTTAGGATATTTAGAGCACCTATCATATAGGCACATCTGATTTCTATGGGTGAAAAATGACAAGGACGTCATTCAGAATCAAAGGAAACACTGACTATCATTCAAAAGACCAGTGACCATAAAAGTGGTTCTCGGGACCATCCCAGTGTCACAGCCCCCTCAAGAGTTCTATGCTCAGTCCACGTAGGATCCCACGAGCTCCCCACTTCCAGGCAAAGGGGGTAGATAAGGAAAGCACTAAAGGCCATGAGTTGAGAAGAGTGACCAGATAGGGCTGGGTTCAGAGGAGAAAGACTGCCGCATGGGAATTGTCAGAGCTTGGAGCTGAGGCCATTTGTCAGGGGGCAATGAGCTGGGCAGTGAGGGGAGGCAACATGACCAAACCTGAAACACGGCAGTCACAGAGGTACAGGGCAAGCTGCTGTCTTCTCTGTCACTAAGGCATTGTCCCCATAAGACAGGGTACTTGCCCACTAGCTTACACAGACAACAAACAGACAAGTTGGTAACAAGACACAATAGCAGTGAAAAGAAAAAATGTGGCTGGAGGAATCTAGAACATACCACACATCTGGTTAAGAGCTGACGGTGTAAGCCACAGGCATTCAAGGGTGGTGTCCGTCCTTTGTGAAGTCTGTGGTGAGGATCAAAGGCCAGGAGCTTGGAAGGCTGGTTAGAGCATGCTTTGAGATGGCGGTGATGGCTCAGGTCTCAGTGACCTCTGTAAAGTGAGGTTAATACTTAAGTAGGCACCTACTGTATGCTGATGCTTGCAGTGGGGGCAGGAGATGCTTGGAGATTGCAGGAGACAGACTTTAGGGTGGTAGGTGTGAAGTCATCTGGATGAATGAATGAATGAAGAGTGAATGAATGAACAGATGGATGGATAGGTGCTAAATAGACGCTTCACACTGCAGCAAGGCAGCTGGGAGAAATGATGGATAGACCCACCCCCACCACCACCACCCAGTTCTAGGCTCAGCTACATCATGGCAGCCTGTGAGAATGTGGCGCTGGGAGGTGGCTAGTCAGGGCTGAGGACAGGCATGCTGGGAGAGTCATTGCTTGCTCTTCCCCTAGCCTACCTCGCGTCCCTGAATCTCAGTTTGCCAGTGGCCCAGGGGGCTCAAAGACTGCGGGCAGAGGCGGGTGAGAAGCCCTGGATCTGCCTAGAGGGGAACGGGACGACGTCCTATGCCGCCGGAGACTGGAGTAAGGGTGTTGGCATGCATGTATCTTTGCACGCAATGACTGCCAGACCTTTGCAGGTCACAGTCACTCGCATGCGTGAGAATCTGGGACAGGGAAATTTGGGGCACCGAGGGAAGGCAGGCGGGAAGTCAAGCTTGCCTGGCTGACTTGGTGGGAGAGGGCTCCCCAGGAGGGGAAGTGAGCGGTTCCAGACCGCCAGCCTCTTTAAGAGGCTGCAGCTCCCGGCTCTGCTGCGGTCCCCTCTGTAGTTTCGTGTGCAGACTGCGTTAATTAGATTACCTGAACCCCGCTAGGCCTGCAGCGCCGCACGCAGGCGAGGGCTTTCCGGGCCGTTGCTGGGCGGAGCCTGAACTGCAGCAAGCCGAACAGCGCCTCGCAGACGAGTGGCGCAGCTTGTGGGTGGGCGGAGTCCAAGGGACTGTGGGCGTGGCCTAGGCTGCAGGGCCTGGGAGTAGAGTCTCAGCGGGTGAAATCGCTGCATTGGGCGGAGGGGGCGTGGCCTATGCCCGCAGAGGGCGGTCCAGGCAAGGGGGCTTGGCCTTCGCCTATAGAAGGAGGGTCAGGAAGGGGCGTGGACTTTGTCTGCAGAGGAAGACCAGGCAGGGGGTGTGGTCTGTGTCTGCAGAGGACGGGCCCAGGGGGCGTGGTCTGTGCCTGCAGAGGGCGGGGCCCGTCGCAGAGGGGGCAGCGCCGGCCGAGAGTCCTTTACGCGCCGCTGCTGCGGCCGGTCCACAGCAGCTCTGACAGTCGCGGCACAGGCACCAAGCCCCTTGCCAACTCCAGGCAGCCACAGCGACCTCCGGCTCGTCCCGCTCTCTCTTCCGGCGCTGCGGAGCTGCATCTGGCGCGCATCTGGCACCACCCCGGCCACGCTGGAGCCCGCGCCCGCCCTGGCCCGGCCACGCCGGGAGCCCGGCCCCGAGCTGGAACCCCATCTGGAACCGCGGGCCCGGGGCCCTGAGCCGCGCAGCCGGCGCATGGTTAACTCGCTGCTGTTCGGGGAGATGGCCTTGGCTTTCGGTTGCCCGCCGGGGGGCGGCGGCTGCGCAGGCGGTGGCGGTGGTGGTGGGGCCGGGCCGGGGCCCTCGCCCGTAACGGCGGCACTGCGGGACGATCTGGGCTCCAACATCCACCTCCTCAAGGGGCTCAACGTGCGCTTCCGCTGCTTCTTGGCCAAGGTGCACGAACTGGAGCGGCGTAACCGGCTCCTGGAAAAGCAGCTGGAGCAGCAGCAGAGTGAGCGCGAGCGGCGGCTCCGCTACAAGACCTTCTCCCGCGAGCAGGCCGTGCAGACCGGGCCCGAACTGCTGCGGCCGCCGGCTGCGGGCGGCGGACAGGCCCTCGGTGCGGCCACCGGCGTCAACGCCAACACGGTGGCCCTGGGCGGCCTGCCCCCCGGCGGCGGCTCTCACCCGCAGCACTACGGCCGCCTGCCCGGGACCATCTGGAGCTACACGCAAGTGCGGCGAACGGGCGGCGGCGGCGTGGAGACAGTGCAGGGCCCCGGCGTGTCGTGGGTGCACCCGGACGGCGTGGGCGTGCAGATTGACACCATCACGCCAGAGATCCGCGCACTCTACAACGTGCTGGCCAAGGTGAAGCGCGAGCGTGACGAGTACAAACGGAGGTGAGTGGATGCGCCCCTCCTCCGCCGCTCTCGGGACCGGGCAGCAAGCAGGGCCTGGCAGGTGGGCTGCGGGCTGCCGGGAGGACTCTGTCATCAGAACCCGCTAGAGTCGGGCGCGCGCAGGATACCTGGGCGCCGACCCCCGGGGCCAGGCACATTGTTTCCCAGGGACGTAATAACCAGCGGACTTGTGGTGATCTCATTCTGTCCACATGACAATGCGGTGTGAGGCAGTCTGGTCCCCATATTGCAGATGAGGAAACTGAGGCGAAGAGGTGCTAAGTGACTTGCCCAAGGCGGCTTGGCTAATCCGTGGTGAAAGTCAAGTCCAGATTTGATCTATTGATGGGAGTCCTGGCTGGTGTGTCTCCCAGGCTAGGTATTTCCCTAGAGATGCTGGTGGTAGATTCCCTTCCCATAGCAGGTGTAAAGAAAATCTCTTGACTAGTACGTTGTCATCTTTTTTTTTTTGTCCTTGAATTTAATGAGCTCATGTGAGAAGATGATGGATCTGTCCCTAGGGCCCCAAGGTTGGCTGTCTTGTTCCAGGTCTGTAAAGAACCAGAACCTCAGCTTCTAGCCTTTTAAAAAAAGTCATCCTTTTCTTCACATTCTCCCAAGTCTCAAGGGTTATTGAGGTCCCCCAGGGGATAGATACTCATGGGTTAGCATATTGGGTGCGCTCAGATCATGGGGCCCAGCTGGAGGTCAGGGGCAGACTGCCTGCAAGATGGCCAGTGTGCTCCTTGAAGTCCAGATTCCCAGGCTGCAATACTGGCACTGCTCTCTGCCTGCAGCCTGGCTAACAATACTGTCTGCTCAGCTTTCTGATACAGGGAGGAGGAGAGAGAGAGAAGGAGAGAGGGTCTGTGTGTAGGTCTCAGGTCTGCATGGGGGAGGGGCCCTCTGGTCCTAGGCTCCTATCTCAGCCATGCCTAACTTTGTTTTATTGTCCTGACTCTTAAAGGGAGTGGGGCCATTCCTTCCATTCCTCCAGTCTCCCTGGAAGCTGGGGCTGAGTTTGCTTTTTCACCCTCTGCTGAGGTCTTCTGACTGGGAAGAAGTCCGGGGCTAGCTCCCATCCCCTGCAGGAGGTATTGTCAGCTACTTGGAGGCTTGTTTACTCATCAGGGAAATGGGAACAGAAAACTCCAGGGTAGAGTGGGGTGAGGCTCCTGTTGGATGGTGTAAAATAATCAAGTCGATTTTCTTATTTGCGATGAGGAAGGTATAGAGACGCCTGGAGTCTCTGCTGCACGTGCAGGGCCTGGCTCGCTGGAGATTGCTTTTCTCTCTGGCCTTGGGAATGCCCTGTGCCATTCACAGGGGGTCACCCTCTGCCCTTGGTGGTCATCCCCATCAGGGCAGGCTAGGGAAGGAGGCAGTTGCCTTGGATGGTGAAACTGGAGGAGGAAGCTTGGGCTGGCCCTCCTGTCTGCCACCTTTGGCAGTGTAGTCATGACACAGGCTTGCGCTACATTTGTTTAATTGTGTGTGTGCTTTTTGGCCCTGGCTACAAAGGTGATGGAAAGACTGTGCTCAGGCTTAGAGATGGGTTGGCATGCAGCAATGAGCTGTTCAGGTTGCACCCAGGGTGTGGGGCGTGATGTCAGCTTCTGGCACTGTCCTGGAATGAGCCGGCCCTGCTGAGACAGGTGGGGTGCGGGCATCTCTCTTCCCGCCTTTCTGGGAGGTTCATGTATACCTTCTTTCTTTTCTTCATTGTCTTATGAACTGGAAAGACCTTTCTTCTCTGAAGTTGATTCAAAGCTTTGTATTTTTCCAAAGTGAGTGTTCTGCCTTGCCCAGGCCTCAGTTTCCCTACCTGTAAAAGCAAGGTGGTTGGACAATAGCTGTGCTCTTTGACATCCTGGGCTTCCTCGATAATACTTTGGGGAAAGCTCCTTGGGTAGTTAATAAAATTACAGCAAGAGCCCGTGAGATAGCTCAGCAGGGTAAAGGCACTTGCTGTCAAGCCTGACGGCCATAGTTGTACAACAAAGACCCACATGGTGGACAGAGAGAACCTACTCCAGCAAGTTGTTTTCTGACCTCTACACATTTGCAATGGCACATATGCACACACACACACACACACACAGATACACATAAATAAATGTAACAAAAAACCAAATGCATCGAGCCGGGCAGTAGCGGCGCACACATTTATTCCCAGCACTTGGGAGGCAGAGGCAGGTGGATCTCTGTGAGTTTAAGACCAGACTGGTCTACAGAGTGAGTTACAGGACAGCCAGGACTGTTACACAGAGAAACCCTATCTCAAAAAAACTAAGTGGGGGAAAAAAGCCAAAGCCAAATACATCAAAATGTTAGTGCAGTCAAGAAAGTGTTCTTGGTTTCACATAGATGTCAGTGTGTCTGATTCCATCAGCATGCAATTTTTTTTGATGATTGATTGATTGATTGATTATGTGTATTAGTGTCTTTCCTGCATGTATATACAGGCAGCCTGTGCATGCCTGGTGCTGGTGAAAAGAGGAATAACTCCGTGGAAGTGGAGTTACGGGCAGTTGTGGGCTGCCATGTGGGTGCTGGGAACTGAATCCATGGTTCTCTACAAGAGTAGTAAGTGCTCCTAGCTGCTGAGCTATCTCTGCAGCCCAGCACACTCACTTTTTAATGTTTAATACTTTAAATTAAAGCCTCTTTCTTTGGAGACTGTTGCTTGCTGGCCAAGCAGGATGTTTACACAGTTTCTGGTGGTACCAGCTTACCTGTGAGTGACAAGATGCTTTTGGTTTTCTGCCGATTGCCCCATCAGGTGCATCCACTGAGCCTAGAACAGGTAATTTATTATATATTCACGTCTACAATATGAATACATACAATTTTGTTCTCATCTACTGCTGTATTGCAGTTTCTCTTTCTGGAGGAAGGCAGGAAGACAGTTAACTTCAAAAAAGAAAAAAAGGTCTCAGGAGGAAGAGGCAGTTGGGTCTTTGTGAGTTCGAGGCCAGTCTGGTCTACAGAGAGGACTCCAGGAGAGCCAGAGCTAGACAGAAAAACTCTGTTTGAAAAACCAAAAGTCAAACACAAAAACAATCACTCCCCCCCCCCCAAAAAAAAACCCTCTGTGCTATGTGACCTGAGAGGGGCTGCTTAGGCTTGTCAGTATGAGACTGCCTTTGTGCTGGGGTTAAAACTCCATGACACATCACTTGCCCAGAGTGCAGGGGAATTTGGGTGGCAATAAGTGAATATATCTAATTATATTATCTATCTATCTATCTATCTATCTATCTATCTATCTATCTATCTATCTATCTATCATTATATCTAATATAAGTGAAGAGCTGCTAGTCTTCCTCTGGTACTTTGACTATTAAGAGGTCACAGTCCAGGAGATGAGACCATGGTGCTGGCCTGTTTGGTTTGTAGACTGCCAAAGGCATCAAAGTTTCGTGGGACGTCTGGTGTGGAACCCCAGTGCTGAGCACTGGAGAGGTCCTGGCTGGAGAGGGAAGGGCTCCAGGTTCTCTGCCATTGGTCAGGATGGACCTCCCGCTCCAGCCGCTGAATGATAAGCCAGAAGTATTTCCAGCTTTTTAAGCTGCAGGCCTTTGTGGTCCTGTCTCATGATTGGTTTCTCTCCACATGCACCTGTGGTTCCCTGGTTTTTCTGAGGTGGAATTGGTTCATCTTAAAGCCACCAGTTTAAGTATAGCAGTGATTTTTTTTAAAGGAAAATTTAGAGCAGTGTACCCATCTCCAGGGTCTAGTTTTAGAACCCTCGGATCCCCCTCCCCCCAATTTCTTCCTGTCTGTTTGCAAACAGCTATCGTCTGGAGCAGTCACCAACCTGCCCCGTGTCTACCTGTATGCTTTCTCTGGATGACTCAAAAATGAGATCCCATGATAGGCTGTCTTCCGAATTTGGCTTCTTCACATAGATGGTGTTTTGGGAGTTCTTCCAACATATTGTACTTGCATATATCTGAACATCCCTCATCATTGCTAAGTCACGTGTATGGATGGGTAGACCCAGTTTGTCTGTCCCCTCATCTTACTTACATAGTCTTGTGTTCCAAGTGTTAAGTCACCCTAGTGCTGTGGCGGACATGGTCTACCATCAGCAATACCAAGCTGGTTCTTTGCAAACACCAACCCAAAGCAGAGCTTCTGGCCCCGGCTCCCCACCCCCTCACCCCTTCTCTGGTTTCCCTTCAGCCCAACTTGCTCTTCACCGGGTAGGAAGTGTGGTCACCGAGACTGTATAGAGAGCAAAGTTGTAAAACGTTGATCTGGAAACCAAAACAAACACTTCTTTCTGTCACCACCCAGTGCCACCATGATCTCTTGTTCTGAGTTTGCAAGTTGGGGGCTTTCCCTGGGAGAATCCTGTCAAATTATCTCAACTTTAAATACATGGGTTTTCTGAATTGGCCTCCAAGACACCTGCATGCCTTTGGGTGACCCTTGGGTCTGCATCATGGCTGATCTTTTTGCTTTCTCAGATGACTTTGTGTTTCTTGTGCCTCCTGTGTTCTGGGCATCCCGTTTCCTATCTTTGCTTTGGATGACTTAGGGTCCATACCACGGTACAGCCCCATGATTTTCCCCCTTATTTACTGGAGGAGGAGGCTGGGTTACTTTGTGGCTGTCAAGCAGAAGTTTTGGTAGGTTCCAGTGTCTGCATCAGGGAAGTTGTCACGGTTGTTCCAGGAAGTAGCAATGACTGGAAGAGGCTGTCCAGTTGCCTGCAGGGCAGGGTGACTTTCTAGTGTCCCCCTTTGTCCCATAGGCCCAGTGTGACCAAGGACTGACTGGTTTTCTCCCCTCGCTGTGGGTAGACAGACAGGGTTTATGTGCTCCTGGCTGGCTTTGTCCTTGGTACCTGGAGTGAGTGGAGGCTGTTGGAGGGTCTGAGGGACCTGTGTTGTCTTTTGTCTTGGACTTCAAGTGGGTGCTTCAGATCCCTGGAGCCCATAGTAAGGTGCCTCATGGGCTCTGGGGACGCTGGGAGGTTGAGCCCCTGGAAT